GAAAGTTACGTGGAAATTTTAGAGAGAGATTCACGGTCTCATTTCGCTTTCCGTGTTTTCTCGCGTTTCGTTTTCTGTTCTCCCTCTTTTCTCCGAAAACAAAGACGCTGTTTAATCTCATTACACTCGACGCGCACTTGTTCGAGACGTGAGTCTCACTCGAAATAAAACCGATTGTAGACGAATAGAAACGAAATGCGTGTCAGTAGAAACATGCGTGATGCCGCTTAATCGAAGCGCTAGGCTGGATATTCTAATTGCAGGGGAACACGCGGTTGGAAAGGGAAAGAAGAAAAAAAAAGAAGCCTAGATATACTTTCTTCGCTGTCGCTTGGACAGGAAATGTCGCGTCTGCTGTCCTGCAAAAAAGGAAATTTCTCTTTCGTCGTTCCCCGCTTCCAACTCGTCCGGACGCGTCTTCGCGTTTTCTTTTCTCTTGTCTGCGTTCGATCGAACAGACGGAGTTACGTTTCACGAAAAAACGTGAAAAAAAAAAAAAACGCTCGTTCAGGATCGAACGATCGGTGCAATCGAAAGGCCCGATGGGATATCTCGCCGATAGAAAGCGGAGGAAAGAGAACGCGACACGTCGACCGGTGGAAAATCGTGCCGTGGAACAAATGCAAAATCGACAGGGGGACGCGGACCGCGAAAACGAAAGTGACGCTACGAATTCGCGCTAGATGAACGCGAGATCGCGTTTTTCATTAGAAACTTGCACGTTTGCAAGTGAATCGTTGCGTAGAAAGAGAGAGGGGAATATTATTCAAACGACTTTTTCTCCGCGAAGAAAATTTTTACAGGGTCTTTCTTTTTAACCTACTTTCGATTCTGTCACGTTCGTATTCCGTTAAAAGATACAAGATGCAGGAAGGGTTTCGTTAGAGTTCAATTTTGCTAAATTGCGATCGGAAGAATCATCGAGAGTTTCCTGCAGCTCTCTATAAAATTGAATATTTCGTATATGCGATACGGAGTTTCAGGTTATGTTACATACCTGCAACTAATATCGCGACGCGAACAATATTGTAGAAAAAAAATTGCACGATAGTTACGTAACAATTCATACGAATTCATTCATTAATTAAAAGTTCCAAAGGTGTAAAAACAGACGTTGTGAAAGTTACTTACTAACGCATAGGATTTTAATGAAATATCGTTATTCGGACATCTACTGAGATATTTCATTGCAATAAATAGAATTGAAAATCATAAATGCCTTTGTAAAAACGTAACTTTTATTAAAAGATCTCTTTTACGTTATACGAATAGCGAGTTGATTCGTGGGAAAGATTGAATCGAAAATGGAGCACTCTTGTCACAGAGGGGCAGAAAATGATGTTTCATCGTGTTTTGTCGGCAGAGCCGAACGCAGAACGTAGAACGTGAACACCGTAGAGTCTTGGTGATGGATTAGAAATCGTACTTTTCCTGGATTGGGCGTCGTCCCGTTCCGAGATCGGCGAGAGTTACGAGGTTTTCTCTCCGAGGCCAGCAATGTCGGCCGTTTTTGCGCGAAAATAACTCTCAGCCTGTCCCCGGCTTCGCGGTAACTCAGCATCGCGACGATGGACAACAAATCGAGGATAGCGAGGCGCAGTTTCTACGCGCTTTCAACCCTCTAACGCAGACACGAACTGTACTCCGACTGTGGGGCCAGCAAATATCGCGATACCTGTTCCTCGAACTGGCAAACGTTCCCCCGTCTGTAGCATTCAAATCTAAAGTTTGACGAAACTCGGATTTCTAGATTACTTTTGAAATTCACTGGCTGATAAAGCGAGATTTTATCTGACCTTATCCGAGTTTGACAATCGTCGATGATTGTGTCTTCCTTGAGCTTCCGGCTGATTCGAAGAAGAAAATTGGTAGGACAGAATTGAAATGACTGTGCTCGTTAACGTTAATTCCTTTTCATTTCTCCGTATGAGATTTAAGAACGATAGGAACAAGAAATCAGCTAAGCAAACCGTGCTATCGATTTGGATCGCGAAGGTGAAAACGAATTAGCGTAAACTCGAATCAGAGATAATCTGAGAACTCGGCGCAAGGTAGAAACTGAGATCTGATGAAAGAGCCAGCTTATCGCAACAGCCGGTGTGTTTTCAATGCAAATTCATCGACGACTACTCGGCGCGAGCGCAGTACGAATTCCTTGTTGGAATAATCTTGTTCCGCGGAGTCGTTGATCGCCACGCGTAAAATCCGCGGAAAATGTTTTTCGGCAACAATGCAGTCGTAGGCTCGATGGCAGGAAGTGCAATTAAGGCCAACTCGTTTTCACTTATCGGGAGAACGGATCCAAGAGGCCCTGGTTGGCGAACAGAAGCCCTTCGTACGCGGCTCGTTACGTTTCTAGGATGAAGTCTCGAAATCGTCCTGGCGGGTGTGTGCTCATCTACGATGAAATACGTCACGATCCTTCTCACTGATTAATTTTATTTTCAGACAATTCTTCGACAATACTTATTAAGGATTATTTCTTATAAATTAATTTTTAAATGCAATATTCTCCCCGATTAAAAACTGACGAAACGACACACTTCAAATATATAAATAAATTCATAATCATAAATCGAGCTCTTTATATATTCACAATGCAAGAAAAATGTGACTCGGCAAGTAATTAAGAAAAGAGGGAAGGAATAGACGTAATAAACCTGATTGTGGAAAGAACGATTTACGAATAACGATCCGTGACCTCGATAAACAAGATGTGAAAGATCGTTTTTTGGGTTGCATTACAATGCAAAGAAACGGCAGATCGTCGAGCGCCGAGAGGGATTACGAAATCGGTCACTCTCAAGGTTCATTCTGTATGACCCGTTGCAAAAACACTTCCGACGTTTTCGTTGCACCTGTGTTTACCGGCTGCAACGAGAGACGTCGAATTGGAAGTTCCTTTCCGCCGCGACCTCGTACGCACGTTCACCTATTGTGTACACCGTGCATACGCAATCGTTCGCAGTCTCGTTTCTGTTCTACCCGGTTCTTCCTATACTCTGGCGAGAACTTACTGTTGCTGCTCGCCGCTCGAGAACACAATGTCAGGGATTGGAAAGAAACGGCTGGCTGGAACGCTCTCGTGCATACGCGTACACCACACGTCTATCTACGGATTTGTATACTTTGTTTATTCGAAATAAACGACACGAATCGTCTCGCCGTGACAGAATCCTCGGAAGAGTGATCGAGCCTCGGTACTCTTTTTCTTACAAATACATCAAGCGGGGCTGGCTTGAGAGAGAAAAAAAAAAAAAAAA